CTGCTGCTGCTGCTGCTGTGGTCGTTGGTGCACGTCAGATAGTAATTGTTGTTGTGGCTGTTTTGAAATACGTTTCAGTAGCTGTTCGGGTAAGATTGATGGCGATTGTTGATGTGGTGGTAGTGGTGAGTTGGGTAGTGATTGGTGTTCTGGTTTCTCCACTTTTGGCGACGCTGACTGCTGTGGTCGTGTCAGTTTTCGTAGTTGTTGATGTTGGGGTTGTGGGGTTGTTTCAATTCATTCGCCGCGTTTGTATCCTTCCGATGCATAGATTGTTCACATGTTTGTTGTTCAGTGTTTTTTTGTTCGCATGTTTGTTGTTCAGTTGTTTGTTGTTCACATGTTTGTTGTTTGTGCGAGGTCTGCGGTTTGTTTTGTTGGAAATGTTCTTGCAACTCCTGTCTCAACATCAGGGAAGTGCCAATGATTTCAACAGGTTTCGATTGGTCGAAAGATTTGTTGGGAAGCTGTAGCATTGCTGAAGGATTCGTTCTTCGTTTGTCTTGTTGTTCGGGCTGTTGTTCACGTTGTTGTTCGTGTTGTGCTAGTTGTTTTTGTTTCTGTTGTACTGTTTTCTGCGTTTTTTGTTGTTGGTTTCTTTGTTTTCGCTGCTGTACTTTCTGCAGTTGCTGCTGTTGAACTTGTTTCGGTCTCAGAAGTGCTCGTTTATTTTTTGCAGGGGACTGCGCCTTAGTTGATAACGGTCGACAATTCGATGACCCCGATCTTTCGTTCATAACTTTGGGCAACGATTTCAGTCGTGGTTGTTGCTGTTGTTGTTGTTGCTGCAGCTGTTGTGGCTTTTGTTGTGGTTGAGCTGATGGCCGTTGATACGTTTGATGTCTCGGAGGTTGTTGCGACCTAAGATGCTGTTGATTTCGTTGTTGTTGTTGTTTCTCATTCTCAGTTGACCGGTCGTGATCGATCGCAGGTTTCAACAAACTGGACGACGTCACAATTGTTGAGACTTTCAGAAAGGTTTTCTCAGACTCTTTCATGACGTCACCAAATAGAATTTTATTTGAAGATGTGGCGGCCACTAGGGTCACTTCGCTGGTCACTTCACTGGTCACTTCACTGGTTGTCTCTGTTTCCTCTTCTACATTTTCACACCGCTCGGCAGTGCCTCGCTAATGGGATTGGTTAAAATTATTTCTCAATCAGAAATTGATATAAATCACTTAAAATTTTTAAATTTAATCTTTACTTTGGAACAAATTCTCAATCTAGGGAGCGGTAGTGGGATGTCATTATCATCCATCTTCATCCCGCTCTTCTCTTCTTCATCTTCTTCCATTTTCAGTCGCAACTGTTTCTGTAAAATTTCATGCTGCTGCATCTCTTTCAGTTTCTGTTCCCTAACTTGAGAAGCTACTTGCTTCTGCAACATCATCTGATGGTCCTGCTGCTGCTGAAGCTGTTTGTGCACTTGTAGCATCTGCTGGTAGCTTTGGTAGCCCTGGCATTTCAACGTTGTTTCTGATCGCCTTTGTTGTTTTTGTTGTTGCTGCCGTTGCTGTTGTTGTTGCTGTAATCGTTGCTGTTGTTGCTGCAGTGGTCGTTGTTTTTTTTGTTGTTGTTTTTGTTGCTGCTTTACTGTTGTTTTTTTGGACGAAGCAGCGTTTGTCTGTTGTTGTTGTTGTTGTTGTTGGCGTCCTTGTTGCAGTAGTGTACTTTGTTGTTGTTTTTGTTTTTGTTGTTCCTGTTGAAATTGTTGTTGTTCTTTGAGTTGATGTTGTTGCAACCGTTGTAGTTGTATTGTTTTTAAATTATCTTCAACATCGAGAGCATGTGCGTTTAGCTCTATGGGTTCCAATTCGAAGTTGTTAGTACCTCCTGGTTGTGGCATCATCAAGATGGCGGTCGGACTGTTCGGCGAGTTCATGATCTCGAAGATCTGACAGAAAACTTCTTGCATCTGATCGCTTGGTGTGGTTGTTGGTGGTTGATGGTGTGATTGCTGTTCTATTGTGTTTTTGTCCTGTGTGTTGTTGTGATTGTTGTTGGTGGTGGTGTGTCGTTGTGTTGTGATTGTTGTTGGTGGTGTTCTGTTGCGCTGTTGTGTCGTTGTAGCAATTTGTTGTGGTGCTGGATTTTGTTGTTAGTTGAGTTAGTTGGTTAGCTGTTGTAGTTGCTTGGATTGGTGTGGTTTCGTCGATTGATATAATGAAAAAACTGTTGTCAGCATCATCAGCAAATGTAAACGCCAACAACATCAACTAAAAATGACAATAGCCCACAACAACAAACATCGATAACAACAACAGATAACAACAAATAACAATAACTCGTACTCATTCTCTGACCATCCGTCACTAATGACGTTATCACAGCCAACGACTTCGGTGGATACGACTTTCTCTTCAATGGTCTTTCCATTGGAGTTCATTTGATTTTCGGAAAGCGGCAACCGACCTTGCGGTGACGACCGAAAAAGACGCAGTAAGCTCAGTGGCGACTGCATAAAATTACTCAGCGATTTGAATAGCGCTGATTTTGT